CAGGACAGAGTAAGGATATAATAAAAAGGCTTAAAGACTAATATTAGTCTTTAAGCCTTTTTTATTATATATATATATATATATATATATATATATATATATATATATATATATATATATATATATATGAGAAAACACTACTCTATCAAATTTATCTCATATACCGTCACCCCCCGATCGAAGATTTGACATTGCGGGAAGAAATGTTGTGTGACGACATGGATCTCGTTGCACACAACACATAGTCATCACAAGCTATGTCAAATTGGTACAAATTACGTCGTTGGCGCCTGCGCAGAGTGACCTCCCCTTCGTTTTGTTCATCCAGCCACTTTTATGAAGATGACCGTTCTTCGAGTTGCTGGCATTGGAAGTTAATACCGAATGCATAACGTGCCGTTACATTTGCTATGTCCCACGAGAAGGTACAATGTTAAGGCACCCGATCCTTTTGAAAGTGTAAAGTGAATCTGGTTTACGTTGCATAAACGTTAGTCGTTTTCCCTGTTTTTTTCTTTGCACTAACTGCGCATTCATTTTCCATTTATGTCACGTTAATTGTGTATTCTTAAATACCTTTAGCCTCCTGTATAACTCATTTAATTCACATCAAAGTGGGAGCACTGCCTAGAAGTACATGTTATATTCTCCATCAACCATACGGCTATATTTGGCTTTCAAAGAGTTTTATGGCCTAGCGATATTTTGGACCTGTTTCTCAGTAGATTGCTTTGATGTTATTAGGACGTAAGTGGGTTAATGGTGTTTGTGTTTGCTTTTCATGAACTCGTAATGAAAATACGTTTTTCTAGCATTCACCTAAAAGCGTTTGTAGGGTTTTGCATTAAATCTTTTTCGGTTCATTTGCTGTTCCATATGCAAGAGGATTCTAATGGTCGATATTGGTTTAACAACTTTTCTTTTCTTTTTTTACTGTTAGATCGTCTAATGGAAGCCCCAAGATCCACTCAAGTAAAAGATTTACTGAGGGAGATTGTTGCGAGGGAGGTGAAAGGCGGAATTAATAAATACAAATTTATTCCTCAACCTGAATATTTACACTTTTTGATTCATGAATTATTTCAAACTAAACGCATTAACTTATGCCTGTATCGCAAAAATACTGGCTTACGGCCATATAGTTTTGAAACAGTGGTTTCCGTACGATCACCGAAGTTAAGCAACGTCGAGTCTGGCCGCTTGAGAATACCTGGTGCTGTAAGCTTGGATATACGGGTAGTGTAATGGATAACGGAGAGCTAAGTTCCAATTCCATCCAGAAAAAAAACGCAAAAATAACCTTGGGAAAGGTATGAATCAACTTCCTTCATCTCCCAGGTATGGTTTAATTAGTAGGATTTGAATGAGTAAAATTAGAATAGTTAATCAGAGAACCAAGTTCCAATTCTAGTCGGGTTTGTTATATTCAGTTACACACAAATACCCTTGGAAAAGGTATGAATAAGACTTGTATCATTATATCATTATTATCTGGCCAAGTTTGTGAGCTTCTCCGTCGCGCAGATTCGTATGCCAAAATCAAATTCTCGCTAATGGCCTCTTCAAACTCTCTATTATTTACACCCATCTCCGTTACTACTTTCAGGGACGACGACGATTATCTAATCTAAAATCTAATATAAAATTCTGAAAATGGGTTGATAAACCGTAGAAAACGAATCAGTCAATAGAGTTTACAGCTTTTCCCTTCGTAATTCTTGCTTTTGGTCAAGGGGTTAGAACGTTGTCTTCCTCGACATGAAATCCTAATTAGAAATTCACCATTATTGATTTGTTGAGGAGAGGACTTCTTGTTTTATAAGCACATGGGTAGGGGGAGATCATGGCAAGAGGCACAGTTGGGAAGTACCTGAAAACAATACCACGAGTGAAAACTGTTCTTGAGTAAATCTGGTCAACTAAATCTGGCAAGCCCTCGATGGTTCTGCCATAACAGTAACAGTAACCGAGAGTTTTGAGCATAGTAGCCACGTGATCACGACAGATTAGACGCTCTCTACAAAAAAAAACGAAAAAAACTGCAACTAAGTTCCGCTCAACATAGTTGCAGTATAAACCACATGTTATATCTGTGGATGTTGAACAAAAACAAATGTGCCTGAGCACGCGTCTGTAATAGGGATTAGCTACCGTCCACAGTATATGGGTATATACTGAAGATGGGAAGCTAGCCATACAATTGTTACCTCTAGAATTATATTATATATATATATATATATATATATATATATATATATATATATATATATATATATATATATATGTATATACTAGTAAAAAATCCGTGGGTAAGCAATCCATGTAGATCCTATAAAATATTAAAATTGATCCGCAAAAGAGAGCTCTATATAATTTTTATTAAAGATCATATAAGTGAATTACAATTAAGGAGATACAAACAATTTACCTCATACAGATGATGATTTCGTCCATGGGAAATGATCATCTGTATGAGATAAATTGTTTAGATCGCATTAATTGTAATTCACACACACACACACACACACACACACACACACACACACACACACACATAGATAGATAGATAGATAGATAGATAGATAGATAGATAGATAGATAGATAGATAGATAGATCTTACCCATATATCTTCATAAACTGCACTTCATTACTCTTACCGAAAATGCAAAAAAATCCTTGAGTGTCACTTGGGCATTGCATATTGTGAACATTAGTAAAAAGAAAGCATCTCCACTATATTTCCCAAGAAGCTATGGTATTTCGCAGATAATAAATAAAAGGAATCTGTGGAGAGCTATGATCGCCTACGACTTGAAGTGACGTAGTATAAAAATGCAAATACATCCCATTTCTTAGTAGCTTGTAATCTTTTTTTGTACAGTTTGTCTCATGGTAATTCAATATTAGCCGCTTTGGCTATGACCGATGGATCTAGTTTTATTCGCATCTAAAATGTAGAACGAAGAGATAGAGAAATTGCAAAGAGATTAAATTTCTTATTCCTTAAAGTCAAATCTGAAATAAACCTGACCAATTCCAGCAACAAGATATGCTTGATGGGAATATCGCTAGAGAAGGTTTACTCTGAATCCTAAAGCGACGAAAACCTCATCTCTATAAGTATATTCAGCAATAAATGATCTTATATCCTAAAAGAAAAATGCCATTAACATGTAACCTATTTCATAGCGGTTTGTAGTATTCTATGTTTGCTTAAATTTCCTTTTGACTACAAGTAAGATGTAAAAACAATCCCAAAGCTATTCGATTTGACTATGACTGAGAGAGCATCGATAGCTCTTTTTTTACGAATCTAAATTATAAAATAAAAAAGAAAGCGATCACAAAAGAGGTAATGTTTCTCATCCTGTAAAGTCAATCATGGAATATGCCTGACCGTAAGGTAGGTTTCTCTCTATTTTCCGCTGCCTTCATACCTTAAATATGTCCTGTGAGTGTAAAGCACCCAAGCCATCGTTTCTCATTATACATTCAAAACTGATTCTTGCTAGGAATTTTACTCCCAATGTTAAGTGATCATTTATGATCCACGATCAAAGTGACATAATTTGATGTGTACTTAAAACATAGAACTAGATTATGTCTACTGTGTCTTCATTCACTTATCTGTGTGACTCACGTGCCTTTTCTACATGCTATTGATGACGTATTATCGTTAAGTCACGTTGTGAGTATAACAGAACTCGATAGAGGGCTGCACGATTTTATGATATGCATAGCTCCTGTCGGCATATAGGTAGCGAGTGGTGAAAAGAGATGGATTCTGGTATTTTCCAAGATTATTTCAGCGTAAGTGAATACAGCGAACATGACTGGAATTCGAACTCGGCTCTCCGATTTCTAATACCCAGCCATCGTCCCTTACGCTACCCGCACAGCCAAGCTTACAGCACCTTGTATTCCCAAGCGGTCACCCATCTAGGTACTGACTAGGCTCGACGTTACCTAACTTCAATGATCATAAAACCAGTGTTTCAACGTGATATGACTGTAAGTTGTGTATTTTTAGAATACATACAAGGCCGGTCGGCGAGCCATTGTTTTTGTATTGGACGTTCACGACTAAACCTCATGAATACATAGAAGTTCAGAGATAAGTTTTTGATAGGTTTACCTAGTCTGACACAAGTCAACAAACATAGAGGAGCCAATAAATATCGAACTCATTGCAAGAGTAAGTGTATGTAAAACTAGTTATTCCGCTAAGCGTAAGGTTATACCAAGACTTTCAAGCATCCAGTGAGAATTGTTTCACTTAATAAAAGAATTAGACCACAAGACAAGATTTCATTGTATCATCTAATGGTTCTGGTCACCAATGCTGAGAATCCAGTTCCGATTTAATTTCATTTGTTCTTTTCTTTGGTTCACATTTTCCCGTTTATTGCTGCTCTGAGCAACGTTTGACTTTCATCTCTTCATGGCCGGGCGCTGCCATTCATTCGCATAAATTCGTTAGGTAGGTTTCTATTTCCCTTTGCCCTTCTTTTTCTTTTTTTTCTTTTTTTAAGCGTTTCACCCAAAGCAAGGCGGAAAGCCACTAGGACGCAAGGGGTTGCAGAAAATTTAGAGCAAGATCAGATAGGAGTGATAGAAGAAAGGATGAGGAGAAGGGTCGTGGATAGATCAAGGCAACATCCTGTGAGTGTTAAGTTCCCAAGCCACCGTTCCTAATTATACATTCATAGACGGTAAATTTAAAACATAATAAAGAGAGAGAGGGTTAAAGGGGGATAATCCCGGAATCGAAGTCAGAACATTATCATTGATAACTCTCTCCTCCCATTTGCGGACCCTAGTTACTTCTATGATGCAAAAATAACACAATGACTAAATCGACCAATAATGATTTATAACTATTTATACTGGGACTCATGCATGCAATTAGAAGTAATACATAATATTATTTTAAATTTTGAAATGAATTTTTTGAAACTGTTTCTAAATCTTTGATTGGCTTTCAATCATTCCGCCTCACATGCTATCCTCTCCCGTCTCACCTGCTACCCCCCGCCTCATCTGCTATCATCTTCCGCCTCACCTGCTATCCTCTCCCGCCTCACCTGCTATCCTCTCCTGCATCACCTGCTATCCTCCCCCGCCTCACCTGCTATCCTCTTCCGTCTCACCTGCTATCCTCTTCCGTCTCACCTGCTATCCCCCGCCTCACCTGCTATCCTCTTCCGCCTCACCTGCTATCCTCTCCTGCCTCACCTGCTATCCTCTTCCGCCTAACCTGCTATCCTCTCTCGCTTCACCTGCTATTCTCTCCCGCCCCACCTGCTATCCTCCCCCGCCTCACCTGCTATCCTCTTCCGTCTCACCTGCTATCCTCTTCCGTCTCACCTGCTATCCCCCGCCTCACCTGCTATCCTCTTCCGCCTCACCTGCTATCCTCTCCTGCATCACCTCTATCCTCTTCCGCCTCACCTGCTATCCTCTCCCGCCCCACCTGCTATCCCCCGCCTCACCTGCTATCCTCTTTCGTCTCACCTGCTATCTTCTCCTGCCTCACCTGCTATTCTTTTCTGTCGCACCTGTGAGGCGAGTTGCACCGTTTCTCATTGAAGGAAAACCTGGGTCTAATAAGCGCTATAGGCTTGTATGTCAGTCAGAAGCCCAAGGGAAACTGTATTAAGTACGTCATTACTGGTGCATATTAGAAATTTGGACAATTTTCTCATTGCATTTCTCTAAAATCGTTATCGTAATGATGAAGTCGAGATGATAATTCATTTTACCACATAAAAAAAGAATGTTAATGCTTTTATTCATGAACTGAGTATCGACTCATTATCACAACCAGCAAAAAAAATTCAAATGAATGTTTATAGCGAAGACAAGCGTCCATTCGACAAAGTTGATATGGCTACTGATATTTAAGAAAATTAGAACGACCTTGATGAAGAATATTGTTTTTCAATAGTCAAATCAAGTCCTTAAGAAAAACAAAATCAGGCTGTCATAAAATCCCGGAAAGGGAGAATATTATGACTTCTTTTATTTTTATTAATTTATTTTGTTTATTTATTTATGTATTTATTTTTCTTATTTGTATTTATTTATTTTTAGACATTCCATAATTTTGACATCTTCTATGTGCCGTGTCCCTTCAGGACATTGATGATCACGGCTTTCCACAATTTCCTGTTTTTCGTTGCTCTTAATAAATCTTGTCTTTTTTTATCACTCCTAAACATTGTACAGCCATCCATTTACTCAAGTTCACTAAGTAGGTTTTTAGTTGTTTTTTCTTTTTTGTTGGTTTGCGCTTTATTTAACAAGACATAAGTTGGTTCTCGCTGATTGGTGTTTTATTTAACACTTCAAATTTTCAACAAATTACTATGGAGTAACTAGTTTTGGTTCGATGCTGAGGCTTATGGACAATTATTGAATTTTAGCAAAGATGCTTAACAGACTTAATTGTTTAAAAAAATATTCAGTGGAATAGCTGATATTTGAGGTTTTACCTTGAATGGTCGAGGTGTCGTTTTTGACATCTAGGCTATTTATAGGGTAAATGCATTGACAAATTTCTTACAAGCAATAATACTTGTGTTTATGTCCCCTATCTATCTATTTATCTATCTATCTATACATACACACTTTTGCTGTTTGGGTTTTGCTGTTTGGCGCATTATTTAAATAGAAAATTGTTTGGTTCTCGCTGATTGGTGCTTTATTTAACTCGAAATAATTTGGTTCTCGATGATTGGTGCTTTATTTAACAAGAGATTGTTTGGTTCTTGCTGTGTGGCGCTTTAAATAGAGATTGTTACTTTTTTGCTGGATACAGCCAATTACAGAACACTTCGCCAGCCGATCTACGCTGAAGGAGTATGAATGCGCTCGGATCTACTTCATGGCATTGGCGATCATGGCGCTTCATATTTTCCAGTCCTTTGTGGCTCTTAATAAATTGTGTCTTTTTTAACTCTCCTAAACCCTGTTCTGCCATCTATCAAGCTCACTAAGTATGTTATGCGTTGTTTTCCTTTGTCTTTCTTACCTTCAATCTGTCTTGTGAGTATCAGATTTTCTAAACCCTTTCTACTAATTATGTGTCCTAGAAATTTCAGCTGTATCTTTCTGATGTTAAGTATAAGCATTTTTTTTCTATTTTCTCTAAAATTCAACGTTGCTCACATGTCAGCACCTTTATGTAGAAGCATATTTTTGTTGCTTTATGTCTCTGCTTCATCTGTGAGGAGATTGTACAACATTCACATAGGAAGTCTGATATTAAGTAACAGTACTCTACTCTTTTCTTTGTTTCCAACGATTTTGTTTTTTGTTTTTTTCTTATTACTCTGCTTATTTTTATTTTATTTTTTTGAATGCTTCTTTGGATCGCATTCGGATTTGAGTGTCGCACACTCTGTCACCTGTTAAAATACTTGTTTGATTTTGGTATCTCCAATTCGACATTTGCAAGTTAGGCTTCATCTAAAAGAAAAATGATTTAATTCCTTTACGATGCATGTCAGAATGTTCAGCTGTTAAACACTCATTTTTTTTTTAGTTTAATACAGGATGCGAGGGGTAGATTAGTCGCCATTTTATATCTTTTTATTTTTCGCATGTGCATTGTTTCTTTTCTATTTTGTCGACTACACAGTATAGTAGGATCAGTTGTGCACCGTCCGTGACAAAAAGAGCAACATGATGCAATTCACTCCACCAGAAATTTGGAAACGACATACGGTACTGCTTGGCATTCGCTCCAGAAGCTCCAATACGAACATTTCAGAGAATTTGGGTGTCAACCTGAGGACAGTGCAGGGTATTCAGAAAGAGTTGGGTGAGTCTAATGGTGATTACGAAGCTACGGCTGCTCGAAAAACTCACTCAAATCGTTCTGAAAAGAATTTGTTATTGAGGGCCTCAGACTTAACACGGAGTTCTACATCAAGTGCCTTGAAGGGGTAGTGCTGCCCTGGGTCACGAGAGTGGGTTCTGGAAGACCCTATGTGTGGCAACAAGACTTTGCATCATGCCACACAAGCAGAAGAACCAAGTCGTGGCTGTCAGACAATTTCTGTGACCACGTCACCCCTTACATCTGGCCACCTAACTCCACAGACTGCAGAAAGCCCTTCATTATTTTGTGTGGAGCGCAGTTGAGCTAGAGACCAACAAAAATTGTTACACCAATGATGAACTAAAGGCAAGGATTATGGCAGCATTCACCAACTTAAAAAAAAAAAAGCGTCTAATATAGTTACAGTAAATTGGAGGCCATGGTTGAAAGAAGTACCGATTTCATTGAATAAATTTACTCTTTAGTATTTCAAGATATTTTTGTGTAATTTTGGTACTTATATCTGTCAAAATGAGATGTCAGTGTTATTTTCCTTTTTGCGTAATTTAGACGACAACTTACACATCGCACCCTGTGTATATATATATATATATATATATATATATATATATATATATATATATATATATATATATATACATACGTTTTTATTTGCTATAGAGTAAAAAAAAAAAAAAAAAAGATTGATGAGAACGTACGCTAAATTTTACCAAGTGCTTGTATAATGTCTGTCTGAATTTCTGGACTGAGGATTTATCATTATCTACCTGCATACTATTGTTCTCATCTTTTTTGTTATCACAACTTTTCGACCGTTTTATATTTCGACTTTCATCAGGTGAAAGTCGATCCGGGCAATATACAGGGAATTCAGAAATAATTAACTCCTTATTTAGTATACGGTCGGGTTGTAGACTATTCTCGTTCCACTGAATGTAATTCTCTAGCAAGAAGAAAAAATCATCCATGCTTCCCAAATCTGATGATCTGGCGTGACTCGAACTCGAATTGGAGCAATCATATCTATTTGTACGTGTGTGCACGTGTATACATATCTACATGCGTGTATTTGTGTGCTTGTGCTTGTATGCCCTTAATAAGAAATGTGTTTGTTTACACGCTTCTCTATTGAATTCATCATGCATGAAAATTAGCGATCTAATGTGCTATCTATATGTTCACTTCTAGTGTCTCCCACTGAGAAAGAAAAATAAATTCGGGAAATGGTTGGGAAATGTAATTAAGATTGTCTACCATATCATTGCTGAGAAATTGATGGTGAATAAGTCATGAAGAGTGCATTATAATATTTTATGTAATATGTAGTTCAGAAAATCTTTCGAATGCATTAAAAGCATATTGAATCGTCGATAAGAGACAATGAATAAAGTTAGTGGAAATCTTTTTAGGCCTTTAAAAGATCGCATATCCTTTAAAAAACGCAATGGAGCAGTATGAAGCATGTGGACCAAGAAGACGATGAATAATTGAATGAGTTCTATCCTTACTAAGAACGCAGTACTTTACTCTTGTGTCATCTACGATTATCTGTTATTGTTATCTTCTGTTATCTACGATTATCTATTATTGCACAAACCGATGCAAGAAAATTTAGAAACCGAATAGGTGTGGGAAAAATGATGATCTGAGAGTGGCTGTTCTATATATATATATATATATATATATATATATATATATATATATATGATGAAGTATAGTTTTAAGGGTTAACGTGGTCAATATCAGGGATAGAGTTTATATAAATATAACAGTGAACATTGAAGTCAACACCTAGAGTGGACAGACAATTTCTTGCTAAACATAATCAACAAGATTGACGATTGTATTCAGCAAGAAACAGACTGTCGCCTCTGGGTGTTGACTTCAATAATATATATATATATATATATATATATATATATATATATATATATATATATATATATATATATATATATGTGTGTGTGTGTGTGTGTGTGTGCATGTGTAACAGCGAAATTGTCTAAATTGTGTTACTGCATAATTGTTCATCTCACAAGTTGTTTAATATCGAAAAAAACGCTAAACTAATTGAGATTCTTTTTTTCCAGGTTTTCAGATAAGACGTTTAGCCATCTTGACACCATTTGTCATAAGAATCATGAAAAGCCCTTTGACTTATTAATATACAAAGAGAACAGGTTAAAAACGTTTTGTGTTAGCCCCACTCTTTTCCCAAATAAATGAGCAATGGTGAGAGGAAAAAGAGCATTCAGGCCTTCAATAAAATTACCAACATTCATACACTGACTTCCATTTTCAAAGTCCATTTAAGAACCATCAAGAGAACAAGGAATAAGTTTTTAAAAAAAGACAACAGCTGAGAGGAGAAATGGATCAGGAGGTCACAAGAGCAAGAGGGATCATAATTTCAACTTAGAGCTAAAGAGATGAATTAGAAAAGATCCAACGCAAACTATATACGTTTGGCACGTGAGAGAGGAGTTTCAGTATGACAGCTGGAAGAGCAGTGAAAAAACACTTGAAAATGAAATCGTACGTGAAACGTGTGAGGTAACTTGTTACTCCAGGACAGAAAGTTAGAAGGTTAGAGTGGGCGAAGATCATCTTGAACGTGTTAGAAAATAGAAAATAATCCTGGGATAATATATATATATATATATATATATATATATATATATATATGAACGTAAATTCAATCCTTCATGAGCTGCCGATCGTTAGCTATAATTAATTAAGGATGAACATACCATTTTCTTGTATGATCGATTTCATCACGATTTTTCATTTCAGCTTGAGGATTAATTATACATTGTTATTGCTCAAAGTAGAGACTAATAGTGTTATAAAAACCTCGGAGAATTCCAGTAAGTTATCTTTAATCATTTCTAAGAAACAACGGTTCAAAGTTTAATCTAAAAAATGAACAAGTTTGCTTTTGCACGATTTGGACAATTTTGCTGCTATACCCGCTATATATATATATATATATATATATATATATATTTATATGTATGTATGTATGTATGTATGTGTGTGTGTGCGTGTTCGTGTATGTGAGTGTGTGTAGAAATGATCTAAATAAAGAGATATGATCAACCATATCTGGAGCGATTACGTACACATAGAGGCGAGTAAAAATCTATTTATTTAATCAATGGTGTTGACAAAACAGTGCTCAATGTAATTTGAACAGAGCTATAAAGTATATATTAATAATTACACATATACCTACGTATATATTAACGGAACAATATACCTATTGAACTTATTATTAATAACTTTATTTTTTTATATCAACCTATCAACACACTATATTTTGAATTTATACCCAATACTATTTTATACTTATAATAATCTTGAACTTTCAATCAACACAGAATGTAGCGTTGCTCTCATGAGACCCAGTATTAATAGAAAAACAAGCGTATTGAACAGTTTATAACTTTTTGTACCTGTTGAATGGGTAAACCATGAAACTCTGAGTCGTACTGTAAACGTAGGTACATGTGTAAGATATATATATATATATATATATATATATATATATATATATATATATATATATATATATCATGGATTTTTATTTATCAATCCAACAGGTTTTTTATCACTTTAAACGTTATTTTAGAGGATGCTGATATTTGAGTAGAGGCTCGATTTATTTATTAAACACTATATTAATTTATTTACAAACTTGAATATTCGAAAAATCTTATTAATAGAGGACATATTTTTCTTTAATAAGATTTCTCGAATATTCATGGCGGTAGAGAAAAATAAATAAATACAGCGTGCGATGGGTAAATTTTCGCCATTTTATATTTTTATTATGCGCGTTTTTAGTTTTTGATTTTGTCGACTGCACAATATAGTTGGGTCAGCTGGGCACCGTCTGTAAGAGAAGAGCACCATGACGCAATTCACTTCAATAGAAATTTGAAAACTCTTTGGCATTCGCACCGGAACTCCAATAAATTTCAGAGTATTTGGCTGTCAGTCTGGGGACAGTGCAGAGGCTTTGGAAAGATATATCCAGTCAACATCATGGTTTTTAGAGTGATCACTAGTGATAGCGATAATATGCCTCCATTCACCTTCCCACAGGTCCTCAGACTCAATACGGTGGACTACCTTGAAGAGCTAAGTGTTGCCCTGAGTTAAAAGTTGTTGGAAGACCTTATTTCTGGCAACAGGACTCTGCACCACGCTAGCAGGAGAACCCAGTCATAGCTGTCAGATAAATTTCTGCGACTACATCACAACAAGTTACATTTTTCTTTAAACAGAAAATTTAAGAAAAATATAATTTCTGAAAAATTATTCATCAAAGATAGCTGTCTTGAATTTTGGTTAAAAGCTTATACAGTAAAATAAAAGAAATCGATATAGAAATTAGGATGTTCATTGATTTCGCCATTCGTATTTTATTTTGAATATGAATTCCTGGAAAAATTCGATAAAATATCAAACCTGATGGTTAACCCTTGGGAGTTCATTGTTAAACATTGAACTGCGTAGCATATTTCAACACTTCCATGTGAAAGCTTATACTTGCAAAACGATATTTATATATAGGGTGCGATGGAAAAATTGTAAATAAATGGATAAGATTTTATATATTTAATTTCGCGCATGTGAGAGAAAGATCACAATGACGCACTTCACTCAGATCGTTTTGATAAGAAAATTCTGGTGATGGCCTCAGACTCAACACCAAGGTAAACATTAACTTCCTTGAGGAGGAATTGCTGCTCTGGGTCAAGAGAGTGGCTGCTAGAAGGCCCTATGTCTGGCAACAGGACTCTGCATCATGCCACACAAGCAGAAGAACCAAGTACTGGCTGTTAGACAATTTCTGCAATCACATCATCCCTTACATCTGCTCGTCTAACTCCCCAGACTGCAACCCCACTTCGTTATCATGCGTGGGGCGTAGCTGTGCGAGAGACAACAAAACGCCTTTTAACACCATAGATGAACTGAAGGCAAGGATTATGGCAGCATCCACCAACTTATACAAGAAGACCTTTCCAGAAGAATTGCAGGATATTTCGAAGTCGTCTGGAGGCCATGGTTGAAGCTAATGGCGATTTTATTGAATAACACTAGTCCTTAGTATTTCAAGACATCTTTGTGCAATGTTTATATATGTGTTGAAACTTGACTAATGCATGGAATAATAATACAACACAAAATGTACTTAGAACAAAATGTATTGAAACAAAGAAGTGTCCACAATATTTACATATAGTCTTTTGTATATTCTTGGGAAGACCGTTCCTGGAGAATGTGTTGACTTAGTCGCAGTCGGCAGAGTCTCTGGATTGAATCTCTTGATTCCTCCCCTCGTCTTCCCGGTACCAACCATATTTATATAGTCGGTACTCCACTATGCAAATTAGGTGGATCCTACCAAAACAATATGTTATTATGAGATGTCAGTGTTATTTTCATTTTTGTGCAATTTAGACGACAATTTATCCATCGCACCCTGTAGCTACCAATGAACACTTGAGAAACGCCAACGCCATTCGTCAGCTCTTCGGGCGACGATGTAGTCCTTTCTACAATATTTCCTTTTAAATCGAGAGATACCGAGAAAAGTTAGGCTAAAGAAATCTTATTTCTCACATCTTCCCGGTTGTCTTGCTGCAACCAAAGGTATCTTTCATAGTCGGTCGATCGCCTAACACAATGAAGCCAAACGGAAACGAATGTTTAAAATTACCTGCTGGAAAGTGACAACAATGCTCGTCACAAGCCGCTTCTACGAGAAAACAGTTTCGTTCTGCTCTTATATTTTTTCGAACTAGGCTGTCGACATCGCTGTTATCATCGAGGTTGGTTTATTGCCTTAAGGCGGCTTGAAATAGTTTAAATATGCCTACATTTTACGAGGCGAAGAAATACCAGAGTGGAGTCGATATACCCAGCTCATCAATATAGATAGCAGCCATTCCGAACGTGTCAATAACATGCGCTATTTGGTAAATAGTATGAAACACGCTACACTATTCAGTGTGAATGCGCCAACCCTTCAAGCAAACCCAGCGTGGAAACAAAAATCCTGCACCGACACAAACTAATCTCCCAGCGACAAAAAATTATTTTGGGTGACTTGAAGTCACCTGAAGTCGCTAGTGTAGACTGGGACTTTAATGTATATATTAAAATATATTCTCAACAAGGAAGGGCTATGTTGAAAAGACAAGTAACAGCAGGATTTTCACCAAATTCTTCACAGAGAAAGAATTGCGCATCATCAACACAGTATTTTACCAGGAAGACAGGTTGAAAACAACATGCAGGCGTCCTTGTTCTTAACACTAGATGAATCATAGGCGGTATTCCATAAATAGAACTACCTTACAGACGTCTAGCACATTAGAATGATTCACCGTCACACAAATCCACGTCTAGTTCACTAACACTTCAGTTTTCATTTCAAGCTAAAGCCTAAGTGTAAAGGAGGACCAATCAGGACTTTAATGGAAGAGAGTCACCTAAACAAGGAGGCGAGGAAATATGCCAAATAAGAGTTGGAATCCGAAATATTATTCTTCCGATGCTGCCCATGATCACATTGATATTTACCATCATAGAAATCTCTAAACGTCTCCTCTGCTTCCCCTAAACAAAAGAGACTACTTAGATGATAACAAGAGCGCCCTGAAGTTTATCGTAAAGAAAAGAGTCGCATCCCAAGTACATCTCTTCTAATTATTATGAAGCCGAAGGATAGCGTTCTGCCATGCATGTCAACATCTTTCAAAACATCCTCCGTTCTGTCTGAATTTATGGGATGAAGAGTTAGCATTAATTATACTACTTATATTCGGAATATTGTCCTCATCTTTGCTGTTGTTTTATACACCCGATGAGGGCAGAAGGCTACAACTGTCGAAACGTTGTGTTAACAGCAAAAATAACGAAAACAATAGTCCGAATATAATTAATGCAAATAGCTTCTGTTCTATGCAAAACATGCAGTGAAAAATCATGGTTAAAACAACAACTTGTCGGCAGCTTCATTAGTTTTGACCAAAGCCTAAACGCAGAGTAATGGTTGATATGCCGCTAAACAAAAACAACCAACCAATCTACAATACAATACTCCACCTACCAGGCCCACAAATCACGATGTAATGCAGATGGCTCACTGCCCAATACCAGCAGAGATTCAACTCTAATTCGCCGGTCTGTTGATTCGGTAACTAGTTGCATCCAGCAAGAACAGAAAACCATCTCGAAGTAGGTAAGGCACCAAACAAAAGAGAAATCGGCCAAAAATAAAGGTGTCAAAATTTGAGAATGCTTCGGACATCGGCTCCAAAAATACAGGTATCTGGAAATATGTCGGTTCCGCTTTGGGAGTATTTTCGCAAGCTGCATTTCAGATTCTAGGATTATGGCAAACAATTCTTTAGGAACAAAGTCATTATATATGTTTCAAAAGCAAAAAAAAAGGTGGCGGGGGGGCTATGTTTAAGATTTCAAATTACAGGAGATAAACGCTTGTTTTCGATTGCAGACAAAATCCTTACTAGGATAAAAAAAAAACATTTGTTACTCAAGTTGCCAGGAAGATGTATCGGGGTTGGTCAGTTCTCACTTTCCGGTTTTAACAACGTTCAGAAATGTCATCGTGACGTCGGAGGTGATTAATTGTTTTCAACCCTACATACCTTTTTCCCGACAGCCAAATATCGCAAGCCTCACGTTATTTATCGCTATTTCCATGACTATCTACAGTCATTAGTTCCATCAGTTTCTTTCCTCTGCATCTAAGACCCACCATGGCGCGTACACTTGGCCAAATCGTCGCAGAGTATATTTTATATCGCGACGTATGAAGTAGACTGGATCCTATATCCCGAGGTTTATTCTGAATTGGATTACAACATAACCAGCCATATTCTGGGAAAAGCTTACACAGTAAAATAAAGAAATCGATATAGAAATTAGCCATCATTAAAAATCGATGTCTCTTATTGATTTCGCCATTCTATTTACACGTATTGTATTTTGAATATGAATTCCTGGAAAAATTCGATAAAAATATCAAACCTGATGGTTAACACGATTGGGAGTTCATTGTTATGAACATTGAACTGCGTAGCATATTTCAACACTTCCATGTGAAAGCTTATACAAGTACCTGTAAAAGCGTATACTTGCAAACGATATTTATATATAGGGTGCGATGGAAAAATTGTAAATAAATGGATAAGATTTTATATATTTAATTTCGCGCATGCGTGTTGTTTGTGTTTTAAGGAACTGGACTACAATATAACCAGGTATATTCTGGGAAACAGTTAACATTGACTGCTATAACCAGTGTTTCTGCCAACTGCTAGAAACTCCTTTGTTGTTATCGTGAAAGATCATTCTTTTCCTTCAAAGATCTTCTTCTGTATTTCCAGTGGACATTGAAAATCTACCCCCACAAATCTTGGCAAACGAACCCAAACCGTTGGCGGGTGGATTTATTGTGCTGTATAATGTCTTAGTCCCAAAAACTTATGATGCAAATGAGCCATACGTTATTTTACTGAATGTTTTATGTATCTATGCGATTGTTTATAATTTTTAATTTCAATTATATTGAGGTTAATTTAATTGTCTCCATGTTCTTTTTTTTATTTTTCAGGTAAGTCATCTTTTAACACATCTACATTTTGGGAGGGACTTTTAAAATTGTGAAGAATCTGAAATTCAACTCTAGATTAAATGTTGCTTACAGTAAGAATAAGGTAAGTTCCAGTCCGAATTTCTGGGATGACGATTTACAATATTTACTATCGGACAATTGACCTGATCTTTGTTGTTACGATCACAGAGTTCCGGCCGTTCGGCTCTGAGGCTCTCTTCGGGTGTCTTCGATAGCCTAGATAATTAAAAGTGTTCGTTTACGATTTTGAGGGTTTAATAATTTCGAGTGCAATCCCTTGGCCAGCTCGACCCAGTGGAAACGCAGTAATAACTAAGTGATACCAAAAGTGAACAAGAGGAGATATCCCCAGACATAGACGGTGGAATTCGAACAATTTACTCACTTAGATTAAATAAAGGGCGGGGTTCTAAAGTCCCTGAAAGTTAGCTGTAACGACAGACACCTGAAGAACGCTGGACAGCAAATCGGCTCGCTGTAAATGACATAAATACCGCTAATATATATAACGGTAAAAATATGAGAGTAAATTTTCGGGACATTTTAGTTCGGATGGAGTGTTTTCACATTTCATTTATCTTCTTTTCTTGAAGATAGAGAAAAATCAAACTGATCTGCAAATACATTTTCCTGTGTTTAGGATAAAGGAGTACTTTGTATACTTCCTTCAAACTAACACTAACAATATCGTGAGGAGTAGTGTCCAATCAATGTACAGTGGAAAATAATTAAGAAAAAAAAATATATTACATTCAATAGGAATTAAAATTACCTCATGTTATGATCATTTCACCTTACAGATTGAGATTACCGGTAAAGATTTTCAAACCGATTCAGGTAATAGGATAAAACTAAATGAAATGAAAGCAGGTCTAAAGCAAATTTTAAAACAAGGCAGAGGAAAAGAAGTGAGAAAAATGGAAAATACCAACAGATTATTAAATGTATATATATATATATATATATATATATATATATAATTATTATTATTATTATTATTAAGAAAAATATACAGACAGATCTATTTATCCTGTGTGCCGATGTAGCATGCTTTATTAGGGGTTGTATATTAGGAGTTTTCGATTAAATATTTTCAGCAGACAATAAACTTTAAAAAATTAAAAGGAAATTAGCCTGATGAGAAGTAAATTTGTCATCTTTAAAATATACATTTTGTAAATCAAACTCAAATATTTATTTTAAAATTAAAAAAATAATTTATGAATTTCTGTCAAAGATGGCATGTCTTTTAAAATAATAATGTCTTTACGAGAATATAGGTACCAAAGCATTTGAAATTTTTATTCTCTTTTAAATATTACCTTTGAGGAAAATTACTTTTTTATTTACGTACTTTGGTTGGTTCAGAAAAACCGTTTTGTATCTATTTAATTTTCATCGACATTTAGTTTTTGTTGCAAGTGAAAACATGTACATATTTAAATATATATATATATATATATATATATATATATATATATATATATATATATATATATATATATATATATATATATATATATATATATATATATATATATATTTATACAACATTTATACATATTTATATATATATATATATATATATATATATATATATATATATATAGAAACCGTGTAATGTATGTATCGAATGTAACAAAGAAAAAAAAAAATATATATATATACTGGCCACTCGTATTCGAGGACATCAGTCTGTTGCAGACGGTCGCTCAAGAAACACAAAGCCCACCTTTGTTTTATACGGCAACTATATTGAGAAGACCTTAGTTACAGTGTCTGGGAAAGAGCGTGAAATCTGATTTGTGACTTCGTGCTAGCCATCGACAGCTATGGATTTTAAATTTCATCTTATAATTAAATTTAAGATTTTACTTTCTGTTTTGAAACATGATAATTCCTATGTAGCGATGGAACCGTATTTTTAAAATAAAAAATAATTAATATATATATATATATATATATTGACAAACAAAAATATATACATATATAAAGATAGAATATATATATATATAATATACGTATATACAGATATATACATATATATAAAATATATACAGATAGAGTAGATATGTATATACATATATACAGATAGAGTAGATATATGCAGATTGAGTATATATATATATATATATATATATATATATATATATATATATATATATATAGAGAGAGAGAGAGAGA